AACTTGTATTAAAATTGTACATGTAATGCATTGAGGGGTAACAGATATAGCAAATAGGTTCCCCTGTTACAAGCCTTAATAGTTAGTTGATGAGTTAATGGAGACTGGATCTACTTTTTACATCAACTTCACAGCACATCGCAGTTATATATCAGAAATATACTTGTACTTGTATGTTATTATTTATGGGGAGATATTCTCAATACAAAGCTGTGAACAAATTTAGATTATAGCTAATGCATTATGCTGTATATTTACATATTTTTTTTCTTAGCTTCCTGAAGACCCAGTATGATAGCTTGCCATTCAGATATCATACTATACCCAGTATGATAGCTTCCTCAAAATTCATGAATTTTGAGTAATACATACGAACTGACGGTTTGATTACATGAGTGTAAGAATGAGAAATCAACAAATAGGTTATACATAAGATCTTGCTGAAGGGTCCTGCTGTTTAGAGAAGATGACATTCCTTTTGCTTCAAACTGATAATGAGATACGCTTTAACATTTCTTAGTGTCCCAAACAAGCATGACATTTTGATACATTTTTATTTTTGGTTTCTTGAATCCTAGATGAGCCTCAAGCCTCAAGGCAATAGCAATCGAGTGCATATATATGTTTTTATCATGTTTTGATATTACACTCCATATATGTTGCAACTTGCAACCATTGTTCAATTGGCATATGCAATAGAGTGTTAGTGTTTGGACTATCCTGCATTTCCTCAGGAAAATACTGACACACTACTGATCAGTGATCATAGATAACAGTTAGCAAGATAATTAAGAAATTAAAGGAGACTATGTGTATATTTTATTGAGGTTGCAACACTATAACAATAAATATTTTTAGCCATGGTTTCCATTAACGAAAAACATGGTTAAATATGATATATAAAACCATTGCCAAAGGTTTTAACAACTGTTTTTTTTTTTATGTTTTTAGTCTGTTGCTAAAAATAAAATTTCTTGTAGTAAAGAAAATACTCTGCACTTAGTGTTCATGTCGCAAGTTGTAAAAAAGGTATGCGCATATGGTGAAATTATGAGTTATTTTGTTTTTCTTTTTTTTTTTTTTTAATTACTGTTGTGAACTTGATAGTAGGTCCAAAATAATTACCAAAGAAAGTGAAAAAGCATGAAAGTTGTAATATTATATCCACCTTGTCTATTTGACCATCTAGGTTGGACACATCATTGCTTCATGTGGTTGAAATAGATTAGGTTGTGTAAAGGAGAAACCAAATACAAGCAATGTTATAAACATTTTTATTCAAAGGTGAGGGGGTATAATTGGACCCCATTTGGATTAGGGATGGTAGTGGGCCGGTTACGAGGAGGGTTTTGTAAATTTTAAATCCTAAATGCCTCCCTTAGACCCCCCAATCCTTATTCTCCTCAAAATCTGTAGCGGGTAGAATTTTTAGAATCCAAACTCTTTCCATGCATGAAAATGCAAAACCCTACTTGACCCTATTCTCCTCGCATTTGAGGGTGGGGTGGTCCTAAAACATGCATCTAATTTCTTATTATATATAAGCAATAACCGAGTAAAATGGCATGCGTAAACATCAAAATTTCCTATCATTTGATTAAAACATGTAAAACCCATAAACTATCAATTATCCTTTGTATGCAATTCAAAATATTATTACATTAAACACTTAATACATAAGTTCATATATCTTCTAACAATATATGGATCAAGGAGGGTCGGATTTAAGCTAATACTGTACCCTATCTATACATGCATGATACTTAAAATTCCAAAACCCCTTGTGCCCCCAAATCTGTTTTTCTATGAAAAAAAAAATACAAGAAGAACCCTATTAGATTGGATACCCATTGGGTAAGGTAGAAATTGCCACCGGCAGACTATTACATGCCAAAATAATTGCTTAATTGGAGCATGATCACTATTTAAACCATTTTTTGGGCTTCAATAGGCACTACTTGTATAATGACCGATCAAGGATTGCTATATCGGTCTTTTTATTTCCTCTCCTAATAATGGTTCCACACAAGTGTGTGATCTAGGCAAATCCCAAATGTAAAAATAAAAACAATGGAGTCCTGGAAAAGATGTCCTCCATGAACCTTTTCCACCTTTAATTTGGTTTCTTGTACTTGAGAAAATGGCATCCTCCATCCACCATAATCAATAGTTCTTTTGTCATCAAAAGATAATGTAGTGGATAATCATCTTGGACATTGTTTGGTGGGGAAGACAGTATTGCTATAATGAGCTTGAGAAGAGGTTGCCAATAAAGGTAATTAATCTAGTTGAGTAGAGGAACGATGCATTAAGTTAAAGGAATTGCTGGGAGATGGAATAGAGATCCTGTTTCCTCTGGCCTCCTTCCATCATGTGAATGTCTCGCTCTTCTTAAATGATATGCCATTTAATTAAATGGAGTAAAATGAGAAGGTTATAATGTTCTGAACAACCCGAATTCTGGTCTGGTTGTCTGTCTAAGCCCTACTTGATGCTGGGTTTCAGATGCCAAATAAATAACACATGCAACATAGGTGGGATCTAGGGGCTCTATACTCTCATACTCGTATACACTTTCCTTGTTCCTGACTCCAACGTCAGCTTTATTTTTTTCCCAATATCCCAGAAGTTGAGATGGTCATTTGGCATCAATCTATAAAACGAGGCGAAAGATAAAACCTGTGGAATCATACTAGTATGGCTAGTGGGCCTAAGTGCACCTCTGTTCTGCCCCCGCTCCTTAATTCCCTTCTTTAGTTTGAAAAGAGTGCAAATATAAATATGTACAATGTAAATACATTCAAAATAATACTAAGTTTTGCATTCTATATATTTGTATTTGTATTTATTTCAAAATGAACCTTAATATGCAGAGTTCAGCTTCTATCAAGGCAATGCCTGTCCGAGCAGTTTTTACAGCCTTGCATTGGGAATATCTCCCTACTCATGTGCTTTATTTCATGAGGAGATATTCCTGATGCAAGGTTGCAAGAGGATGTTGGGACGGTGTGAGCATGGGCTTGCCCTGACCGAAACTGATCTCGTATGTGCATAATGTAATACCAAAAAGCATGGCTTTTGTTTCAAACTCTACAATATGTAGGGTGACAAATGGATTGGATCGAATTGGATATAAGGTATATCTAAATTCGATTTGTTTATATTGAGATTTGAAATGAATCTTATTCATTGGGTTTTTAATTGGGTTCGAGTTAAATTCAGATCGCAATATATTGAATAGCATTAATAAGTCAAACTAAAAATATCAAAATATTATATATTATTAACAAAATATATTGAAAATAAATTTTATGGATCTTGAACAAATGACTTTAGAAAAAAACACATCCTAATCAACTTTACTAATAGAAAATAAAAATGTTAAAAGCATATGCATTTAAATTGGATTTGGATCAATTATATCATATTGGATAAGTGTGGATCCATATTTGATCCAATTATAAACCAATCAAAATTAGATCGCCCTTAACAGGATTGAATTAGAATTAGAATCAGATTTTGGATACCATTTGCATCCCTACACATATGTAGAAAACTTCAATGTATGTGATCTATCTTAAGTTGATTCTTCTTATGAGATTTCCATGTTATAGGACCTTTTCCCAATAGTAGGCACAACATTGTAAACACATTCAATAAGCACTTAATAAATATTTTGACAACTGTATCAAAAGTTTTTTTTTTTTTCAAAATTTTCAAGGGTAGTCTAGGGTATTTAAAACAAAAGGTGTCAAAAAATTTTATAAGTGCTTACTCAATGTGCTCACCATGTGTGCCAACCTGATCCAGACTACAAATTCCTAATATTAGTGTTTCATGAAAATATATCATATATGTTGCTTGGGCTTTGGTTGTTTGTAGTGAAAAATCTGAAACAGATGCAAAATTTGCTTATATATGTGTGTAACTATTATTTGCATTCATACCTAATGCACAATTTGAACTTTGTGTCTCACTTGCACTCCATGACAGTACAAATTTTGCATCCCAAAATGTTTGCTACCTTTTGTTCTTCCTCAAATTTCTCCTTGTAAACTTGGAGGCTATATAACATCCTATTTTATTCATGGTTTTTAAAATCGACTCGGAGACCAAACCGGTCAGGGGTCCGGTTACCGGGTCGAATGGTCGGCCCGTTATGACAAAAAATTATTAAAAAATAAAAAAATAAAAAACAGTCAAAATTGTTCGAATGATTAAAACAATTAACTGCCCGGGTCAGCGATTTACTGACCAAAATCAACGGTTTTTTAAAAAATTCTGATTTTGGGGATAACCAAAACTGGTCATCTGACCGGTTCCCGAGTTTTCCGGTCCGGTCCAGTTTTAAAAACCATGATTTTACTCATCCCAAAAAAAATGACTCCAATTCTATTGAAAATACGTTGCGTTAAGATAGGTTATACACCTCCAAAGTCCAATCACAAAATAATCATGCTAATTGCCGTGCATTTGGAATGTGCACCGAGTGTTATACATCTTGTTTCTAGAGAATTTTGACCCCAAATAAATAACCCTCAACCTGCTGGTTTCATTCCCTTTCATGTGAATGGGAATCACACCATTTTACTTCCCATTTCATTTCTCACAAACAAATAAAACCAAACTAAACCTAAAGAAAAAATAAATCAGAAATTACATTCAAAATATTTGCACTCCCTACATTTAACACGAGTTCAAATTTTACATTGTAAACAAGTAAAACTTTATCCTAAAGGTTCAATTTGGAAAGAATATAAATATAAATATAAATATAAATATAAATATAAATATATACAGAAAATATAAAATAATAAAAATATAAGACTTTGCATTCTACATATTTTTATTTGTATTCCTTCCAAACTAAGCCTAAACTTTAAACCTGTAATATTTTCTTTTGTCATTTGAATGCAACACAGCACAAGGAGTGAGTAATATATCGTCACATGGTCCAGAGAATTAGGGTTTCTATTGGAGTAATAAATTCGCCACCAGTACGCATACTTTTCTGCTGCAAGTAAATATGTAGGCATTTGATCCTTCAATAACGAGACCAGCGTGCAAACGCTACCTATACGCGGAATGGGATGATATAATGAGCTTTTTCCTTAGAGAGGAGGTTGCATTTTACGCGGAGCGCATTTTATCTTCTCCACGACGCCAACGGCTGCTAGCGTGCGCAGGTTAGCGAACAGCGCCCCCACAAACCCCCAAAGAAAGAAAAGTCTGGTGCGCTTCCAGTTCCAGCCTGGGTTCGACGGAGAACGGATCAAGGTGTCCCCTATTTGGTAAATCTCTCTCTCTCTCTCTCTCCTCAAAATCTTCAACGGCCGATCACTGCTGACGTCCTAGAGACGCTTCCCTCCTTCCACTTTCTCCCTTTGTTTTTGGTGCTTTTTTTTTTCCTTCTCTATCTCTAATTTCCCCTTGTTATTTTCCCTTTATATTTTGATTTTCAGTTTCTGTTACTTATTTTCTTACACGCAGAGACAAATTATATTGTAGGCTTTTCTCCGCATCTGTTATTCGATGGCTGCTCCACCTGCTAGGGCCCGAGCCGATTACGATTACCTGATAAAGCTTCTCCTGATCGGCGACAGCGGTAAGCGTTCTGTTCTCTGAATTTGTCTTACTCTATGATTTCTTTGAAACTGATTTTCTTCCAATTTGTCCAGATCGTGATTTAGATCCGAAATTCAAATCTCTTCTGGTATTGATGGCGAGAGGTCTATATCCCTGTTTTAGTTTCATACTAGTATGCTTATTCGGATGGGGGAAGGGGGGGGGTTAAGATTAGCGATGTTCGGTTTGGTCGACCGTCTTTGGCTTTTACAGATCTTATGTTTTGGTTGGGGATTCGGACCCTAGTTTCGCAGTATATTATGTCTTCTGATTTTGAGCACACGATCTACTCTGCGTCTGGCTAATTCATATATGGAGAGGCGTTGGTTCAATAGTCAACACCATTCTCCATCGGGGATGCATCTTTTGGCCTGTTTACTGGGTTTATTCGAACTCTCATTTCTTCCTTCTAGACAGATATGGACACATGACAAACTCTGATTTAATTGGTTGTGCATACTTAGTCTCATTAGAGATGCGGTCTTTCTAGTCCTAGTTTACTTCCTACGGTTTTTCATTAAGTATTCAAATACCTTAAGGAATCACCATGGCTGTAAAATTTAATCCTGGACCAGTTTGTAAGAGCTATAAGAGATAAGACGATCTCTTCCTTTAAGTATTGCAATACTTCTTTATTTTGCTGGCTACTAAAAAAGATTTCTTCCTTCAAGTATTGACGCTATCCATTCCCTTCATTGTTGGACGTCCTTTTCTCATTGCTTCCGAACTGATTTCTACTTTTATCTTTTAATGAAGAAAATCTAATCTCAACAACACCTTTATACAATTCCAATTCTGGCTCTTGGGTTACTTTCCTGTATTTTTGTTGCTTTCAAGTGCCTGATGATGGGTGATCAAAGCAATGTTTTTTAGTATGACTCTTGATTTCCTCCTTTTTTCTCTGTAGTTTATGACTTGATTCATCTCACCCTCCTTGCCTAACAAGGGTGTATTTAACAAAACAATAAGTTCTCATGATATTTGTGTTTTATGCTAAGGTATGTTGTCTAGATCATATTTTTGACATGGTTATCAGCCATTATGATTTCTCCCGCTGTATCATTCCTATCTTGTGTTCAAGAGTGATGCTGCCAGATGAGAGAACAACTTCAAATTTATTTAATATCTTTATTCAACATGAACCTTTCCTTTGAAGCCTCTATCAGTTTTTTTTTGGGGGAAATGGTAACATTTCATATTTCATTGCAAGGCAGCCATGGAGTTCAGATCCCTCAGAATCCATCTAAACAAGCAACTTAAGGAAGGTTAAATGTCCTGGGTCTCATTCAGAAAGTGAGAAAATCCCAAAGGGCCCAAAAACTTAGTGGAAGCCTAGCCAATAGCATTCCTAGAATCACCTTCTATAACAACAGGCCTGGCTGAAATAGACTTAGCAATCCTCAGGCCAACCAGCAAGGCTCTGACTTAAGCTTCAGAGGCATCTACAGGTCCACTAAAGGCCCAGACCACCCTGCCCTCAGAAGTGAGGATTAGGCTACCAATGCCAGCTGCCCCTAGAAGACATTGGCCTGATTTCTGCTGTCATCAATCCTCAAAATAAAATCAGTAGCTGGCGTAGGATTGGGGGAAGGATTGAAGCTAGGGTCAGCTGGAGATAAAGACAAGATATCAATGAGATTCCTATTCAAGTCTCCATAGGAAGCATGCACTGCACTAGCTTACCATATCTTGATAGGTCTTCAAGATACCAACTTCTAGAAAAGCCTAGAGTTGTATTTGGAAGACCCAACTTAAATAAAGGGTGCCTAGAAAATGGGCCCAAATGAGTCTAGAAACAGAGCAGTGTGGGAATAGGTTGTCTGCTGTTTACTGCTCAACATTGAATAGAGGACAAGTGGTGGAATTGACAAGTATGCTTCTTCTCCTCAGCTTATCTTGTGAGATGCTTAACCCAAGGTTGCTGTCTGAACCAAGAATGCCACTTTTGAAGGTACCTTTCGTGCCCAAACTACTTTGTAAGGGAAAGAATAGCCTTCCAATTCTGGGCTGATATGCTGCATCATAGGTTTTACTAAAAATGAATGTTTACTGTCCCACTTCTAGATTCCCTAGATTCCTTTAGTGACAATAGGCTGGTACTACTGGATCTGCAGCATTAGATTCTCCATCCCATCAATTTCCCAATTGAAAAGGAGTGTGAGGGTTTAGGGAGTGCAACAAAAAGGAGAGCAGCTAAGGAACTTCTAAGAAAGGAAAAGCCTCATATTCTTTTGATTTAGGAGTCCAAAATTCAAGAGATGGATAAGAAGCTTTTGGGGTGAAAGAGAAACCAATTGGAGTTTTACTTTGTCAGTTGTCTTGGGATGCTTCAGGGGGAATAGCATGGAAGGAAGATGTAGTTCATTGTACTGAAGAGTTGATGGGGAACTTTACTATGCCGATTAAATTGAAAAATGGTCAGGATGGGTTTGATTGGGTTTTAACAAATGTTTATGGACCTAATTCTTGTAGGGAAAGAAACTTGATGCAGGAAGAGTTAGTAGATGTAAGGGATCTATGGGAGGGACCTTGGTGGGTATGTTGGAGGTGACTTCAATGTATTAAGATTTGCAGAAGAAATGAATAATGCAAGACAGAGAATAACAAAATTCAATGCTTTTATTGATTCCTTTGATTTGAGAGATATTCCCCTAGGACAATCAAGGTTCACTTGGTCTAATCTTCAAGCAAATCCTATTTGTTCCAACCTGGACAGATTCTTGTTTTTTGTTGATTGGGAAGAGCATTGGAATGGATTGTTAGGGGAAATTTGCCCAGAGTCACATGACTCACATCTACTCACTGGCCGATCTATGTTTTTAGCAAGAAGTTGTTGGTCCTATTCCTTTCAGCTTTGAAAATGTGTAGCTTACACTCCCTGACTTTAAATAAAAAGTGAAGGAGTGGTGGAGTGAACAACAACAATGTCCCAAATGGGAGGGGTAGAAATTTATGAAATTACAAAAGTTGAAGGCATAAATAAAAGAGTGGCACAAGTTGCATTTTGGAAGATTGGAGGAGAAGAAGGCTAATCTGATCTTGCAAATTGAGGAGATTGATAGAAAGAAATTAGAAGGTTCTCCGGGAGAGGAAGACATAGGTTTAAGGTTGAATTTGAAAAAGGAACTTGAGAATACTTTGCTAAGGGAGGAAATAAGTTGGAAACAGAAGTTGAGGGAGAAATGGATTAAGGAGGGAGATGGTAGTACTAGGTACTTCCATGCAATTGCCAATGGTAGAAGAAGGAAAAACCTTATCTCTTCCTTAAAAATTGATGGCATGGAAATCACAGATCAAGCAGAGATAGCTAAGGCCTTTGTGGACACTTTTAAATCAATTTATTTGAAGCCACTTAATGAACAATGGCCAGTTGAAGGGTTGAATTGGGAATCAATTGAAGCTTCACAAACCCTACTTTTGGAAGAAAGGTTTGAGGAAGAGGAAATCAAGAAAGCAATTTTTGCTATGGATAACACATCGGGTCCAAATGGATTTACAATGGCCTTTTATCAATATTGTTGGGAGGTCATCAAGTTGGGTTTGCTTACACTTAGTGTTCAAATAGTTCCACATGGGGTATAATTAATCCATGAGTGAACTCCAACTTTATTACCCTGGTGCCTAAAAAGTCTAATGCTAGATATTCGAAGGATTTCAGAATTATTAGCTTGGTTACTAGCATTTATAAAATAATTGTTAAGGTGTTGTCTCTTAGGATTAAGAAAATTCTTCCCAGCATTGTCTCTCCAAAGTGCCTTGATTCGGGATAGACAAATTGTGGATCAAATTCTTATTGCAAATGAATGTGTTAAGGCTCAAAAAAGATCTAAGAAAAACGAAGTGGCAATTAAGTTGGCCTCGAAGAAAGCTTATGCTCTTGTAGATTGGGAGTTCTTAATTGACATCACTAGAAATTGTGGATTTGGAGAATTGTGGTGTAAGTGGATCAAAGGTTGCTTGCAAAACAAGGGACTGCTAAGGGGAATATGTTTTCGGCTGTGTTGTAATACAATGTTTGTGGTTAAAACTTCCTCTACTTGGGATTGATAGTTGTATTTTGAAAATTCACTAATGAAGTTATTGTTTCCAATAAAAAAGGTTGCTTGCAAACAAGCCACTTTTTAGTGATTGTTAATGGATTGGTGGTTGATTTTTTCGAGACGTATAGAGGTCTAAGACAAGAAGACCCCCTTTCCCCCTTTCCTCTTCACTTTGGTGGCAAAGGTTTTGAGTAGATTGATCTCTAGGGCTAGTTAATTGCAATTTCTTAATGGTTGGGTGGTGGGGAGAGATAGAGTGGTGGTCACCCATCTTCAGTTTGCAGATGACATTTTGATTTTTTTTTTTTTTTGGTGATGGGGTTGAAAATCTGAAATTGGTTGTGAGTCTCTTTGAAAGAATATCTAATTTAAAAGTTAATTGGGGCAAGAGTGTGATGGTTGGTATAAATGTTGAAGAAGAGGAGTTAAACTCATTGGCTAAGAGTTTGGGGTGTGAGAGAGGGGAGTGACCTTTAAAATATTTAGGATTACCTTTAGGCGGCAAGCTGAGGTCTATTAGCTTTTGGAATTCGATCTTGGAGAGTTGAGAAAAGATTAGATGGATGGAAAAATAAACTATATTTCTTTAGGGGGGAGAATCACTTTGATAGAACCCACTTTGGCTATCTCCCTGTTTGTTTCATGTCTATTTTTAGGATGGCTCAAACGGTTGTGAAGATAGTAGAGAAATTAATCAGGGACTTTTTTTTTTTTAAATTTTTGAGAAGAGGTAAAGTATGAATTCACTAAAACCAAAAAAGGACTCATGTACAACCAGTGGTTTACAATGGGGAGTAGAGAAAAAAAAGGATCATTTGGTTAGATGGGAGAAGGTAGTCAAAAGGAAAGAAGAGTGTGGGTTGGTATAGGAAACATTAGCAATATAAACCTTGCTCTTTTAATTAAGTGGTTGTGGTACTTCACTTTAGAGAATGAAAGG